GTAAGCTTCTTCATCAACAAACATTCGAATTGTTTGAGCAAAGAAAGAAGGCGGCCTAATTAATTCTTGCGCTACCATTGTTGTTGTAATTCTGTAAGTCAGTGAGTTTAGCTGTATTTGACTTGTAGTGGACGTTTTTAATCCTAAATTAGGCCCTTAGTATTCGTTAATTGACTTTTAAATGTAGAGCTGACTGGTTTGATGTACATCTGGATATAATAAAAAGCCATGTCTTGGTGCACTTAATTTGCTGAATGGTTCCTTTTCATATCGAAGCATTTCCCGCAATACTTTAACATTTTGTTTCAGTCAATCAACTCAGTTTTACTGAGATATTGCATTGGGGGAAAATTGAGGTCTTTCAACGTGAAGTACATTTTATTTATCTTGACCTGGCTTAAGCACTTTACAGTCTTCCACCGCCAGTCCTGCTTCACAAGATTGTGTCAGCCGGCATAAATGAACCTCTACTCTCCTAGTTCAAAGTATTCCTAGAGGGCAGTTAGTTTTTTATCAAGATAAACTGAATACGGTTAGAGGGAAGACTATCGACGTCGGGGGTATCCAAAAACGTTATCCTGGGACCACTTCTTTTTATTCTCTTCACCTACAATCTGCCACACAAAATCTCCTCAGCAACTTCAAAATTGGGCATGGGAAAACGGTTAAGGCTTCAGTCTGATAAAGAGCAAACTAACGCACATCAGTGCTTGTGAAACCCAAACCGATGAATTCCAATTCAAGTTAAGCAACTATGGTATCATCGTAGTATCTACGGTAAAAATTGTAGGGCTTAACTCCTTAGACGCCCTGAAAACCAGCCCCAAGTATAAAGAAATGGCAACAAGAGCAAACGCCACTTTGCGCTTTTGTGTAGACAGTTTAGTGCTCTCACCCTTGAACTGATTTCAAGTCTTACATACGGCCGCTCCTAGAGGCCTTCAATACGTTGGTACCCGAACACACAAGGAAGATTTCAATCTGCTTTAGAAAAATTTAAAGGTCTGTAACAGAATAAATAAAGGGACTAAAGGGTGAAGTATGCTCTAAAAATGAAACACCTAAACCTGTTCCCTTTGGAGTGACCTCCTTATATGACCTACGAGATAATCCATGAAGCAAACCACGCAAACAAAGTAACCTTGCTCGCAACACAGTGGTCATATTGAAACCCCATTAAGATAGCACATCAGACAGCAAAACTGAAGTTTAACTTTTTCACTTCGAGGGTCTGTGCTTGTAGAATGCCTTGATGCAGGATGTAGTCACAGCTCCCTCAGTAGACTTATTCAGAAGACGGTTAGATAGGTGTCATTTTTCATGGTTTACCACAGTCGCACTCGGGAAATTAACCTCATTAGCCCTATCTACTTTGTTTCTAAATTCCACATAATATCTCTCTTTTTGATACACCTGCATTATTTACTAACTCTTCTATAGCAACTAGACTCAAACTATCTACTTATACCTTTCTAGTAATTCCCATATACCTTCTCCCACTATCTTGATATTCTTATTCAGGCACCTACACAAATACGAGTTATCCCACAAACCTAATCTTCCCAGCAACTTGCAGCTCCCTAATCACTCCAAAAATAATAGTTACTAACCCATAGAAGCATTCACCTCACCGGAACGAAGAGCACGGAAGAGATTTCCGTGCTCATTACAGGAGAAAACCAAACCACACTAACCAGTCCCCAATGAATAGATGCGAGAGATCACAAACTAACAGTTTTCTATGCTCGTACTATCAACGTTGCATCCTTTTGAATGTTCGGAGAAAAATTTGCTTCATCATCTCCTCATCCTACTTTAGATCACAGAAATCAATCATAAAAAATCTACACCGAATTTATAGATCGCTATGTGTGTGTATGAAAATAAATACTCCACCTTTTATTAAGCCATACACCCTTAGGCTTGTATCCTGGAAAGTCAGTAGCTCTAATTATTTCAGGACTGTAGCAGAAAAGACTAGTCTGCTCGTCCCCTCCTCAGTACAATTTTATTTGCCAAATTTCTGAATTACGGATTTTTCGCCACCAATTCCGATAGAGTAGAAAAAGGAAAAGCCCGAAATTGGGTGCTCAAGCGCCACATACCTAACGCATACATCTAAAGACGGTCATATATTTGCCTTTGTAAACTACAGGTGGGCTTAACTCAAAAATAACTTCTCACCAACCACGTGTAATTGCATGCAGCAGGCAATGAGCTATACATATCGTGGAGGTAATTATTCTATCTGGTTGTCCAAGCGTTGCTAGATGCAGCGAGTTTTGAATCCGTAGTCCACTGGTTTAAAGTTAGCTGCCAATGAACAATGAAACAGTTCGACACCCAGAGTGAAGTAGGTGTGTTGTTATGACACTGTCGGAGACGAACTGTGTTGCTTGGATTTTATGTGGAGATAATAATAATAACAACAAACAACTGGAGCGACGTAGCCGAACCTTATTTTGAGGATTTGGCTTATTCTTTTGCGGGAAGAGCCGGAGAATCTCAATCAGAGCACTGTTTGCCAGCACGACGCAACCTGATAAACGGCGAAACGGAGAATTCTGGCACAATTCAAAAATTGCATTGTAGGTGTTGAGAGGTACCGATTGTTCGACTGGTGGTCAGCCAGCACTGTTCTCAAAAGTGTATCTCTTGGCATGATTCCCATTATCCCTTGTGGTGTCCAAGGGTATTAAGTGTGCTAGATGGCGAAAGAAGATCGGTAGGCAGAGATTTCGTTCACCGTTTCGTTTGTCAAGTTGACTATAATTATCAAAATACGATTCTTCCGGCCAGAAAGCAGTGTCATGTCTAGAACGGGTTTCGAATCAAATGGAATTATGTGACAGCACCTTTTCAGAATATTGCGCCTTGCTTTCTAGAGTTAGGCGTGGCCGAGGATATCAAGACATGAATAATTTAGGGGTATTCGTGTTAAATCCACGTGATATCCACGGCACTTCCTAACTACACGAACGGTGCAGTGCTTAAGGAACTGTTTCATCTAACGTCTGGGCTAGACTAGCATCTTAATCTGAATTACATAAATAGCATGTATAACGCATGCTGCATGTCACAATTACTGCCTGTAATGCATACGGCTAAAAGCCCAATTGAAACGAGAGGATTGGAGTACGTTAAAATTCAAACGCCCGAAATTCCAACTGAACCACGATAGGAACACACTATTGCTAACGCGGCGCCGAAAATCTTCAGATGAAGTTTTGGCAGTTCAATCAACGATACCTAACTAATTCTGGAACAGCTTTCTGGAGCCACACCTAGCATTCAGAATCATGGTATTGTGCCCTTACTCCAAAATGATATCATCGACTTAGAAAGGATTCGTAAGCAGATGACTGAATCTGTCTGAAAGGTTGAGGCGTTGTTCCTACATCCTCTAAAATTGCAAGGTGTAGTGAAGTCTGATGGTGAGAAACAGTAATCCAAACAACTCCTAAAACCAGCTACCGTATATCACGGTTTTGGCACGTCAAAGAGACAAAAAATAAGACTGAGATCTGGGGATCAGCAGGATAGATGTTAATCGAAAATTCTACCGCTTGGCAGCCTAGCAATCTCAAATTCCACTCTTGTTCGAATGAATTCCAACTACTTCAGTGGAATCCCTGGAATACAAACTTGAAACCAATTGAATAAGGACTAATTCGTCGACTTTTCTAAGCAGAATAATGTTTACTTCCTGGTTTTCTTGTGTTTAGATTGGCAAACAGGGGACCTCTTGCTTCATTGTTCAGGGAAAAGAAGTATCTGAAAATTTATTCTAAAACCAGTCGGGGCTTAGTTGAGGCGTTGAATCGTGCTAGTCACAACTGCCTTGCTGATATATAAAAATTAACCGGGATTCGACGTCTGCTCATTGATTGGTTGCCTTCATATGTACGAAGCCATCCATTCAGAGCTCGGGGGGGGGGTGGGGTTTCTGTGTCCGAAGAAATAGAATATCCTAGTGGTGTTCCCCGAGGTACAGTACTTGGGCCTCCCCTTTTTCTGATATAAATAAACGACTTGCCCCAGTGGGTTTTTTCCGAGATCCTTCTTTTACATGACATGAAACTATGGAGAGAAATCAAAAGTGAGGAAGACTGCTTCTCTACAGGAAGACTTAGCTTCACAGCTGGGCAGTCAACAGCGGGCTTGCATATAATCCTGAGAAATGCAAGGTGATGCACGCAAAATACGATGCATCTCGTGTACATAACCCCAACGAAATGAAGATTGAAGCGTCGCTGACAGAGAGAGATTGAGGCGCTTTGGTCCCTCAAAACTTAAAATCCTATGCCTACTGTGAAAGAAACCCATTTCGTGGAAACTTGGCATCGGTAACTTCCGGACGAATTTTTGGATAGTTTGACCGTAGAAGTTTCCACCAAACTTTATACAGCTTCATACGTCCTCAACTGGAGTTTAAGGCCGTCGTTTTCTCCCTTTCTCCCCTGAAGGACAGGTTAAGCTTGGAATGCATTCAGAGGCGCTTGTCAAAATCTGTCACAGGACTTTGGTCTAGAACATACGAAGAACTAATGGTCGTGCTGGATCTGTATCCTCTGGAAAATAGGAGGCTAAGACGAGGCTTGGTCATGACTAGCAACATTCTGAGCACGCGTGGCCACCTACTGCGTCACTTATTAAATCTTACCCGTACCGCTAATTTTGGATTACACACAGAAACTAAGCTTGGAACATAGCAGGTTAGATATCAAGCACAACTTCTATTCCCTAAGAGTTGTTAAATCCTGGAATTCTCTTCCTGTAGATGTGATCTGGGCAACTTCGTCTGAATCCTTCAAATGCCGACTGGATGCTTAATTGACATGTAACTAGGATCTGCTCAAAACTAAATGAATTTTCACATTTTAACGGTCACGTTTTCCTCTTTCTTTACTTGTACACAGGTAGACAAGCACGGAAAGTAGTGACCCACAGATTTTGGAAGCGAAGCCAGTTAAGCGTAAGCTTCTTCATCAACAAACATTCGAATTGTTTGAGCAAAGAAAGAAGGCGGCCTAATTAATTCTTGCGCTACCATTGTTGTTGTAATTCTGTAAGTCAGTGAGTTTAGCTGTATTTGACTTGTAGTGGACGTTTTTAATCCTAAATTAGGCCCTTAGTATTCGTTAATTGACTTTTAAATGTAGAGCTGACTGGTTTGATGTACATCTGGATATAATAAAAAGCCATGTCTTGGTGCACTTAATTTGCTGAATGGTTCCTTTTCATATCGAAGCATTTCCCGCAATACTTTAACATTTTGTTTCAGTCAATCAACTCAGTTTTACTGAGATATTGCATTGGGGGAAAATTGAGGTCTTTCAACGTGAAGTACATTTTATTTATCTTGACCTGGCTTAAGCACTTTACAGTCTTCCACCGCCAGTCCTGCTTCACAAGATTGTGTCAGCCGGCATAAATGAACCTCTACTCTCCTAGTTCAAAGTATTCCTAGAGGGCAGTTAGTTTTTTATCAAGATAAACTGAATACGGTTAGAGGGAAGACTATCGACGTCGGGGGTATCCAAAAACGTTATCCTGGGACCACTTCTTTTTATTCTCTTCACCTACAATCTGCCACACAAAATCTCCTCAGCAACTTCAAAATTGGGCATGGGAAAACGGTTAAGGCTTCAGTCTGATAAAGAGCAAACTAACGCACATCAGTGCTTGTGAAACCCAAACCGATGAATTCCAATTCAAGTTAAGCAACTATGGTATCATCGTAGTATCTACGGTAAAAATTGTAGGGCTTAACTCCTTAGACGCCCTGAAAACCAGCCCCAAGTATAAAGAAATGGCAACAAGAGCAAACGCCACTTTGCGCTTTTGTGTAGACAGTTTAGTGCTCTCACCCTTGAACTGATTTCAAGTCTTACATACGGCCGCTCCTAGAGGCCTTCAATACGTTGGTACCCGAACACACAAGGAAGATTTCAATCTGCTTTAGAAAAATTTAAAGGTCTGTAACAGAATAAATAAAGGGACTAAAGGGTGAAGTATGCTCTAAAAATGAAACACCTAAACCTGTTCCCTTTGGAGTGACCTCCTTATATGACCTACGAGATAATCCATGAAGCAAACCACGCAAACAAAGTAACCTTGCTCGCAACACAGTGGTCATATTGAAACCCCATTAAGATAGCACATCAGACAGCAAAACTGAAGTTTAACTTTTTCACTTCGAGGGTCTGTGCTTGTAGAATGCCTTGATGCAGGATGTAGTCACAGCTCCCTCAGTAGACTTATTCAGAAGACGGTTAGATAGGTGTCATTTTTCATGGTTTACCACAGTCGCACTCGGGAAATTAACCTCATTAGCCCTATCTACTTTGTTTCTAAATTCCACATAATATCTCTCTTTTTGATACACCTGCATTATTTACTAACTCTTCTATAGCAACTAGACTCAAACTATCTACTTATACCTTTCTAGTAATTCCCATATACCTTCTCCCACTATCTTGATATTCTTATTCAGGCACCTACACAAATACGAGTTATCCCACAAACCTAATCTTCCCAGCAACTTGCAGCTCCCTAATCACTCCAAAAATAATAGTTACTAACCCATAGAAGCATTCACCTCACCGGAACGAAGAGCACGGAAGAGATTTCCGTGCTCATTACAGGAGAAAACCAAACCACACTAACCAGTCCCCAATGAATAGATGCGAGAGATCACAAACTAACAGTTTTCTATGCTCGTACTATCAACGTTGCATCCTTTTGAATGTTCGGAGAAAAATTTGCTTCATCATCTCCTCATCCTACTTTAGATCACAGAAATCAATCATAAAAAATCTACACCGAATTTATAGATCGCTATGTGTGTGTATGAAAATAAATACTCCACCTTTTATTAAGCCATACACCCTTAGGCTTGTATCCTGGAAAGTCAGTAGCTCTAATTATTTCAGGACTGTAGCAGAAAAGACTAGTCTGCTCGTCCCCTCCTCAGTACAATTTTATTTGCCAAATTTCTGAATTACGGATTTTTCGCCACCAATTCCGATAGAGTAGAAAAAGGAAAAGCCCGAAATTGGGTGCTCAAGCGCCACATACCTAACGCATACATCTAAAGACGGTCATATATTTGCCTTTGTAAACTACAGGTGGGCTTAACTCAAAAATAACTTCTCACCAACCACGTGTAATTGCATGCAGCAGGCAATGAGCTATACATATCGTGGAGGTAATTATTCTATCTGGTTGTCCAAGCGTTGCTAGATGCAGCGAGTTTTGAATCCGTAGTCCACTGGTTTAAAGTTAGCTGCCAATGAACAATGAAACAGTTCGACACCCAGAGTGAAGTAGGTGTGTTGTTATGACACTGTCGGAGACGAACTGTGTTGCTTGGATTTTATGTGGAGATAATACGGTCCCAACGAACGAATGTTATCACGGTTATCTACGAGTAGTTTCAATACACCCAATGAGGACACTTAATACTACTTTGAAGGAATTCGTGACAAGGGTGTAGCATCCACTTGTGAATACACCACTTTTTATTACCAATCGGCAACTGCACGACCCGATTAATGGTTGATGTGCAGTCAGTTATCTTCGTTAAGTTGTTTTTGTGGTCGAAATACTGAGGGACGGTTGAACGCGTCTAGCTAGTCTCCGGTCACCCACTGTCCTTTAACATATTGATTGCAGCACTGAAATAGACCCTCCTACTCCTTCAGATTTCGACGAGGTTGTAAGTAACGTGAAGCGATGAAGAGCAGCAGGTCGAATCAGCTAGTATCAGAGGTATTTAAGGACGATGGATAAGGATTATTTGTTAGACCAACTGTAGTGTTAGCTAGCGTATGGTAATGAGATATGATCTCTCACTGATCTCAGTCAGTCGACCTAATACAACTGGAAGAGAACCGCAAGATTCTTCAGTTCGATTTGTGTATGTGCTTCAGTCAGGGAGCTGACGAACGTTAAGACGTAGTTCACTGTATTCCGAACAAAAAATTTAACGAAGTTAACTGACTGCACATCAACCATTAATCGGGTCGTGCAGTTGCCGATTGGTAATAAAAAGTGGTGTATTCACAAGTGGATGCTACACCCTTGTCACGAATCCCTTCAAAGTAGTATTAAGTGTCCTCATTGGGTGTATTGAAACTACTCGTAGATAACCGTGATAACATTCGTTCGTTGGGACCGTATTATCTCCACATAAAATCCAAGCAACACAGTTCGTCTCCGACAGTGTCATAACAACACACCTACTTCACTCTGGGTGTCGAACTGTTTCATTGTTCATTGGCAGCTAACTTTAAACCAGTGGACTACGGATTCAAAACTCGCTGCATCTAGCAACGCTTGGACAACCAGATAGAATAATTACCTCCACGATATGTATAGCTCATTGCCTGCTGCATGCAATTACACGTGGTTGGTGAGAAGTTATTTTTGAGTTAAGCCCACCTGTAGTTTACAAAGGCAAATATATGACCGTCTTTAGATGTATGCGTTAGGTATGTGGCGCTTGAGCACCCAATTTCGGGCTTTTCCTTTTTCTACTCTGTCCTAATTAGTTGGCGAAAATATAGATATCTATAGTGTCCACATACTTGTTAATGTCTAACTGCTGTCATTTTAGCCGTGCAGTACATGGCTAGTTGGCGTTTGTTGAGGCGCTTCCTATTATATGTAATCAGTTACCAGCAGCTAAAAGTTTGGTGTGAAAGATAAATAATAGTGAAATCTTATCTGAAATGCTGAGTTGAATAAAGCTCCTAAGTGGGTGTCGTGAGAATTTTTATGTATCTCGATCGATAGCTGCTACTTTGATGTGTTGGTCGGGCTTGCTTATCACAATGACCAAGGGAGCTACATTTGTTCTTTGAAGTCCTCCCGTGCCAGAAAGGTCTAATAGGTGGTGCCAAGATGAAAAGAAGTTACTGCTTTGATATGAATGTCAGGTTTCGGGGTGAAGTCGTACTTCTGGTTGTATGGAGTGTGATAACAGAAAGGTGTTTTTCTTAGTTGACCAGTAGCACCATGCTAATGCTGCCTCATCGGTGGGGAGAGTTAGAATAGGCCGGCCCGAAAAATACCACACCTACCTGCGCTTTGCGGTCTTCGGGTGTTGGTGGAAAGAGTTTTTCGGTCATTAGCATAATAAAATTGCATACCAATAGTCCTCAACCAGATTTCCATAGGCTGTGCTGTTATATAAATCTTTTCTTTCAGGCACCCTGGAGAAACAGTTACAGCATAAGCACTCGGGAAATATCAACCACATACACTTCCGGCAGTCTACAAATTCCAACTTATCATAACCTACAACTTCTAAGCTAGTAAATCATCATTACTACGCTGACAATTCCACATTAAGGCTTCCAGCATTCGGACCGCATGACAATTTGAACAACAGGCTTCTCTCGCGAGAACTTTGGAATCTCGAGTTATGGATGTATCCTATACTTCTGAGACGCTCACACGAAAGCTAAATGTTGTTAATCAGTTGACCTCGCCTAACCATTACAACGAATGTTTAAAAGTATCCAGAGATTCGACAGCTAGCTCTCGCGGACTCACTGATGTGAATATAACATTTAGTTGTAGAGCGGGAAGTGCACTTCTCGACTGGATGCCAGTAAACACCCATCTATGTGCTGTTCGACTAAATAGATCTGTAAGGGCAACAAAGGATTGTGAGACCAACCGATGCCTGTTCGTATTCTCCCCTACGCACCCGACGACTGTACTTCGGATGATGCAAAGGATGAATTCTATGAAAAGCTGTCAACTTTGCTACAGAAAGTAAAATGTTCAGATGCAGTCAATGGCGGGTGACTATAACGCTCAAGTAAGGAAGTTGAGCTATTTGGAAAGGCATGTTGGGGGTACTTACGTAATCGCATGCCGACGAACCGATAACTGTGATCGTCTTGCAATTTCGTTCTGACAGTCACTTGTTTCTGGCCAACACTAATTTCAAGCATAAGGAGCGACACTATCTCACATAGTATCCACCAAAATCAAACCAGCTATGGACACAAATAAATTATATTGTTATAAGCTATCTATGGACGGTTTGCTCTCTTTCTGGATTAACTGTTGGGACTTCGATCACGCGTTATTATGGGGGCGTGTACGTCTGGGCCTCACTGATCCTAAAAAATAGGTGGCTGTAAAACCTGTCTGTGCTCGATTGGACAATGAGAACGTTAAGTGCGCATTAAGAGGGGAAATAGTGAAACACTTATTCGAAAGTGACTGCGGTGCTCATCCTGAGGAAACCTGGCGTGATATTCAGCGTGCTGTTAAAATGGTTGGTGATCTACAACCAAAGGTCAGCAAATGTCACTGGATTTCCGTAACACCATCAAAACTGATTGACACGAAAAGACTGATTTCATCAGAATCTGACCGCAATGGGGAACGAAAGCAACTGAGACGTAAACTAACGTAGCCTTCGCAATGACCACGAGTAGTAGTGGGTGGCGAAAGCGAGAAAAGTGGAGAAGATATAAGCACTAGGTAGTACCTGTCAATTATTAGTTAAGCCATTAGGGAACTAGCAAATGATGATTCTTCAACTAAATACATGGATTTGGTTTCAAAAATTCACAATCTGCTATCAGTCATCCAGAAAGTGTCTGGACTTGTCGCAAACTAACTAAATACACTAACACTTGTCTATAATCAAGATATAAACCAATGTAGAAAATCCCATCACATTGTCGATGAGGGTGGCAGACAAATCAGCAAGGAACGTGGGGTGGAAGTGCACGGATTCAAGTTGTGGCCACACTTCACAGCAGCAGAATGCAAAACAGAAAAGAGTAGGGAGAGTGATACTAGTGTTTGGAAGGAAAAATAATTTGGAAAAGGGAATCCGGCGGAAATATTTAAACTTTAGTGGACTTCAATGAGTTTTCACCACTGTGACTGATTTCCAGAGTCTCTAAACGCTGATTCGTTATTCACGTATGAGAGTTATTGGAGTTTAGTTGTCAAGCCATCTACTATTAACCGAATTGTTGAAGCACAGTTCCCGAAAGTTGAAGCTTTCTTGATTTTTCTATCACTGGGAATGAAACCAAAAGTAGTGAATGATTCCTTTGATCTATTTTCGAAACTTCTTTAATACTTCGTTTCTACTTCTTTGCCGGTCTTTCCTCCCCTTAGTGTTACCATACTTTGTATGCTGTATCTTTTAATGCCCACGATGTACTAGGCTTTTTTGATAAGTAAAATAAGCGGTTACTGAAAGATATACTATAACCCGATTTTAAATTTAAACTGCAACCTAACTGATCATAGTCAAATTAACATATAATGATGCGATAAATCTGATTGTCACTGGATAATTATACGTTCCACATTGACGATTTTCCTTGTTTTATTTTAACAGATGACCTCAAAAAAATTTAATAAGCGATTCTCCAATTAATGGCTGTCAACTCTGTTATCCCAACAGAATTGCGTCAATTGAGAGCGTGTTTGTTGTGCGGTTTAGTAAAGACCCTTAATCAGTTCCAATTAAATGGGTGTGAGAATTGTGAAGATTTTTTGAAGATGCAGGGAGACAGAGAGAAAGTTTATGAATGTTCCTCTGCTAACTTTGATGGTTTGCTTGCCATGATGTCACCAAACGACAGTTGGGTTGCAAGGTGGCAAATGATTGATAAGCTTACACCTGGAGTTTATGCAATCAGTGTATATGGATCGCTTCCCAGTGATGTAGTACATTACTTAAGAAGCAAAGGAATTTCTTACCGATCTCTTGACAAAAGTGGAAAATAATTATGCGATTTCGGCAGCTTGTAAATTAAATAAAACTAAAAATTATCCATTGTTCGACTTCTCTAGCATTTAGTGTCTATGGTATGATTTTAAGACATTATAGTAATCTAGTATGTAAAACACTTCAGTTTCTCAGGTGTTCATATCAAGCACTTTCGTGATGCGAAAGATAACAAACAGCACTAGACACTAAGTACACATTGAAGGTATTTGAACCATTAGGTTATCACATGAATGTCTGTCAGAGCTATTCTTGCTAATTTAAAAAACAAAGTAACGTGTTATCAACCTCTCACTAGCAGGTGGTCTGCATGTGAACTGCCGCACTACAGTTTTCCCTCACAAAACCTGATATTCATTTTTCTTGACGGCTACGTAAGGAAGAAAGCATCCTTCTGTAAGACCAAGTGTTGGTGGGAGACATACAAATTAAGGAACGGTGACCACTACAAATAAAGAAAAAATGTATTGAACTATTTGTTGCGATTTCATTATCATATGCAAGTGAAAAGTCCATGTAAGATTTACTCTATTCGTTAGGTAACTGGGAGATATCCTTCACCACTTTGAAAGTCTTGCGTCGATTACAAGAGACGCGAGAAGACTGGGTCCAATCAGCACCCAAATATCCTTGATGGACGTCAGCTTTAGTATGAGAGCTTCTCTATAAAACACTTATAATAGATGTTAGTTGGGGCTACTTCGGTAGGCAACTATCAAGTTCACACATCTCAAAAATGAATAGTGAGGGATACAAAAAAAACTGACATTTACCGTCAATACATGTCAGTGCAAAATAATAGGTCGTTCATTTTGAGACCTTTTACTTGAGTTCTCTAAAAGTTATTCACAAGCTTCTGTGTAGTCTGAAAGAACTGTTCATCTCACTGAATATACATAGTTCAGAGCATCGCTTTCTAGCGCATTAAGTATATTCAGTAAGAATAAGACACTGTGTCGAATAATGTCAGAAACTGGAGCATTCCTATGAAAAATACTGCCGCCGATATTAAGACGGACACCTAAGTTCACTACTTTCTAACAATCACTTGTGAATAATCAGCAACAAAAATAGTGTACTGCAATCCTGAAGTACTCAGCATCTCAAAATTGATCTACTTACATCAGTTGGCATAAAGGGTCATACAACATGATGTAAGTAACCGTATATCAGACAATCAGTATTAATAACTACTTCATCACAGTTTAACCCCATAAAATCTAGTTTTTACAAATATTAGAACTAAGGATTGTATAACTGGTAAAGTTGATCGTAACTCAACTCGACACATATTTGTGATAGGACTACGAGCTGCACTTTGTGAAGGTTTATGATACCACCTGGTTGTTCAGACCAACTTAGGTGGGGCAATGTTTGGACCGGAGACTTATCACCCAGAAACTTTATTCGACTGAGGTGCTGAGTATGTGTTAGGATTTAAACTTAAACCTCCACACATGATTGCAAACATGTAGATGCTATATAGCAATTATCTGTTGAGAATGTCGTTTACACATAATACTTCCGCCAAACTCCAGGTGATCTTCGAAGCCACTTCCAGAAGACAATCTAACGAAGTAAGTATATCTGTTAGCATTTCCGGATACGACAGATTATGTGCACCTAAGCTAGATACCAAATAAAAGAGGTATGATAGTCTCTCAGCTAATACAAGGAAGGAGATAGCAATGGACTCAAGAAGTTTACTTCAATCAGAAGGGTATGAAAATAGAGTTGTTTGTGGGTTTATATACAATAGAAATGCCCTTAAGACGAAGGGACAGCTTAGCATAAGAACAACCAATAGGGAAATAGCGCCCTAAAGAGTGGTAAAAAAGAGCGATACATGCGAGGTGAGAAAGGGCGCGAGGAAGATGAATTCAAATTTATGTTAGGTAGATTTTGTAAGTTTAAGGCATAAAGCATTCATTTGGCATAGCACAGTGATACAGTATTATAATACTTCATTCGCAACAAGAACACACCTTCAATAGGTTTTAGAAATAATCTGGATCATCTAACTACATGAATGATCGTAACAAACGTCCTACATTCTTAACTGCGAAACATTATTCAGATAAGCCATAGAGTAAGTGCCTGCACATCACTCATATCTGTTCACCGAACATATTAAGAACATAATTAGGTGAGACTTGAGTCATTAAGAAGTTTAAACCATGTTTATGAGTTCACAATCAGTTTGTCATCACACTGAATCAACTTTGGTAAATCTGGTTGTTCAGTTCTGCGATACATATATATGGACGATATAATACTGCAACGCGATACGGTTAATAATGATTTCTCAACACGACAATGAACCAGCACCAGGAGAAGGAGATAATGAGATTGAAGATATATTTACTTTATTCGAATAGTGCGATTATAGCTGGAAGTTCAGTTGCTTAGATACCTGTTTAAAGGCCTTAACCAGGGAAAACAAAATAGCATATTAAAAGTGCAAAGTGGGCCAATCAGAGTTTAGCATGAAGCGAATAAGGCGGAAAAATAAGGTTTAAATTTACAATGAGAATATATACATATAAGTTAGTTTTTTTTATGGACCGGATACTCCTAACACCCCTTTTTCAAAAAAAGAATGAGTTTGTTACTTAGGATTCACCTGAAACCGAACCGTTCGTTTCCTGACTCAATCTAACAGACCTCGGGGTAGTAATTTTGTTTGTCGGAGGTTTATGGACTGTGTGCAGTATTGCGAACGTATTCAGTGGGATGTCGTTGGATTTGGTTTCTTCGATTGGTTGTGTTGTAATTGGCTTTTATGTCGTGTCCAAGTTTCTGTCACCAATGCAGCAGACACCCATATCTGTCGATAATTACGCCTTCTACCCACTTTTTATGTCCCCTTCTGTAGTCACTGGAGAAAACGGGTGTTTTGTTTCCGGAATAATTTTGACAAGATAGTAAGCTTTTTGGTCGATCTTTCGGAATACGGCACTGTTAACTTTATGTAGCTTTCTCTCCAGTGCTTCTTTTGGACTCTGGTAATTCGGAAGTGAGTCGGTTGTTGTTGTTCGACACATGAGTAAGAAGTTTCGAGTTACATCCAATGACATACCCCCCCCTCATGCTTTCAGTAAAGTCCTTGTGAATGTATCGACGAACCGTTCCGCTTGTCCGTTCGACTGAGGGTAGTATGGCGGCGGTAGTAGGTGTTGTACGGAATGTCGACGACAAGAATCTTTAGACTTCACAGAGGTAATACGTGGGCCGTCTTACGAGACAACAGTTTCTAGAAGGCCATGACAGCAGACGACGTTGGAGCGGCAGTGTAGTTGTTTTAGATTGCCTTTGAAAGTTTCGTTCGGCTATCTGGTGAGAACAAACTAAACTACACGCTAAATAGTTCTGTCTTCGCATGTAGCCATCTGAACGTCCTCTGTCCTCAACACTGTTTTCGAATGCATCATTACTTTTTGCTTTGTTGCCATTGTTACCCTGGGTTGCAATTTAGCCTTATATTATAGCTGATACAAATAACCAAGATAAGCAGGATCGTAATCAGATTGTTCGGAACCTGTAGCGCATAACGGTCACCTGTTTGACACAAATTAAATCATCTTATTGTTTTCTAGAAATTTTGAGAGTATCCCAAAGATATAATTCAGAAACTAAGTTTCTAACACAGATTACCATTTTATGCAAAAGTAAGAACATTAAGTACATGATGTACACAAAGAATAACGAATCATTTGCTTTCTTTCCCAAATAAGTGATTTCAGAGAAATATTTTTCATGAATAGGCATACATTCAATATATGCACAATCATCGTCACAAATATATATTGGAGCATGAGTGTGAAATGGATATGTTCTTCTGAAGACAAACAAATAACAATTTCAACTACACAGGTATCTATTACTGTAATTTAATGAAAAACGGCTGCCAAATGACATGAACTGACTAACAAATGAACAATACATTGGTAAGACTATAATGATCATACACTCTTGTTTTAAAAAAATACATATACGAATATCAAAAGACCCAAGTCTCGTTGACAGTTTAAATCTTCCGCAATTGTGGGACTTTGCAAGCTTCTCTGAAATTAAAAGAAACCGTTTATGTATATATGTATATATACAAGTCATCCTTTTTATTAAGTTACTTGTCAATGATATAATGTTTGTATAAGACTTCATAGCTAGTTGTTACATTGAATATTCTCCATTGATTTCATTTCTTTTTCTACGCATATCTGAGGCAAGACACTTATCGACACTATATAGTCTATAATAATATAGCCATAAGCGACAGAACCGGAGGAGGAGGAAACAAAAATTCTCTTTGATGAACAGTAGCATACCATGGCAGTAGTTGTGGACATCAGAAATAATTCCTACTCATCCACTGCGATTCAACAAATGTTCCAGAATACAAGAGAGCATAAAATACTCATAAGATGAAAGAGATTTGGTTAAGTCCACATTGTCACACCTAACATCAGTAAATCGGGGAAAGACACCCAGAGGAAAAATCAAGAAATGAAGGAAGTAGTCAGTTGAAAGAAGTCATGGGGAGGAGAGAAAAATAAGAAATACTGACAAAACTCAGCAAGCACCCAGAACAGAAAAAAATCTCGCACATCTCCGTCACCGATCAATTCAGAGACATGTCATCTAGTCGCCAACACCGGATTTCGGTTTTCACGCAGACACTAATCAGAAAGTCTACATTTTCCTACACTCCTCAGATCAACATACATGAATTGATGTTACGTTTCAGTCTGGCTTCTCCTAACCTTCATCCGCTTAAACTCACCTCAACTACCATTAGAAGATAAAGTACACAACGACTACACACGTGTAACACACGTCCCAGCCACCTCCATTAACGAAGGTTCACAATCTCATCAAATGTAGCTCTCCTACCTAGAACACAACTTACGCTGTTAAAGCGACGTCGGTCGGAGACCTAAAGCCTCTACATGTTCTCCACCTTTAATAGTTGCATCATATAGTAGAACAGAGCGAATTGCAGCACAGTAAACTCGATCCTAATCAGGCGGCCGGGTATCATGGTGGC